TATCTATCTATCTGTCTGTCTGTCTGTCTGTCTGGGATATATAGGGGTGCGCGGGGCTAGTTGTCAGTTTTTACTATGAATATTAGTTTTTCAATTTCTGTGTTAACCATTTTAAGGCTTTTTTACAAAACTGTTATTGTATGTATTTTTACCGCTATTGCCCCTGTAAAAAGATATGGTTCATTTAACACATTGACCTTTTGTGGGGCACGTTGTCACTATATGGGGTAAGTTGTCACAGTGGAATCTGCCATTTCACAGACTATCACAAGTTTTAATAGTAAAACAATCGTGAAAAAAAAAATCCTGAAATGTACAAATATGTCAAACCACTGCTTTGACCAATACGTACTGTAATTAATTAGGTTATTAACATTTAAAATACGTGGCAACTTTGTCTTTTTGACTTTCGAAGACATGAATATACTCCTGTTCTAATAACATGGTTCAACCTTTATGTATATCACTGTAATTTTATTGTTTTCACATGTTTGCATAACAAATATACTGTATGATGATGGCCTGATAACCCCTTACATTGAAGCTGTTTTTCTGGTTAATATTGTTCATCCCATCCATGCAAGCATTTATTCAGCATCTTGTTTGCCTACCAGAATGAAAACCCTCTCAATTGGTAATGGGAACTTTGTACCCGGTAACGGCCTGTTTAGCTCAGCTGCCCCTGATTAATGATTGAATGAAGTTACTGGCTTCTGCATGTGCTGAACAATGATCTTACTTAAACATTACACTGTGAAAAGATCTTAATGCTGGTGCAATAGTGACTATTCAGTGCTGACATATCAAAGATATAAAAAATACTTGTAATTACCCTTAAACAGTTGTGACTTAGTGTTATAACCCATGGGATACTGTAAAATCCTCTCAGGTGCATTCATACAGCATAAAGCATTTGTCAAACCTGTAATCACGATGATACACAAATCGCTCTTCCGCCTGTTTGAGCTTTCAGCATGTTGGCATTTTGTGTGTGTGTGTGTGCGCGCGCGTTTTTGTGACAAATGAGGACATAAATTTGTATAATGACAAAGGTATGACATAGGTATTACAAGGAGAAGGTGACTTTTCAGGACATTACCCCATGTCCCCACTTTTCAAAACGCTTATAAATCACACAGAATGGAGTGTATTGAAAATGTGAAATAGCACAAAGTCTCCTGTAAGGGGTAGGTTTAGGGGTAGGGTTGGTGTAGGGCAATAGAATATACGGTCTGTACAGTATAAAAACCATTACGCCTATGGGATGTCCCCACTTTTCACAAAAACAAACCTGTGTGTGTGTGTGTGTGTGTGTGTGTGTGTGTGTGTATGTAAAGCAGCTGTAATACATCATGTGATTGACCTACATCAGTAAAAGTGGCCATAAACTGAGCAATACAGTGTAAATTTGTTCTGGAACAAGAGTATGTTTTGCTACAGTCAATATTTGCTTTCATAACAATGTTTTCCTTATTCTGCCAGTCTTTTCCTGCATAACTCTGAATCTTTGGTATTGACATTTATCAGTTTAGCTGACATATTTGTCCAAAGACCGTATTTTCTAGATATGAATTTATCACTGTTCTTTTTCTGGTAATTGAATCTTTTGACATTCCTAGCACTGTGCTCTACCAGTTGAGATACAGGAAATATTTGCTATTGTTTCTTCCTATATGCTGTACCTGCTTTGAATACAAGCAAATTTAGTTCTGCACTTTCGGTTTCATGCTTGATACTTTATATCTATCTGGATATCGAAGATATGAGCTGTTAAATGTCAGCTTTAAGAACTGGTTGAAGGTGGAAACATATTTCATTATGGATATACAGTTAATCTGACTTTACATCTTATATTTTCCACTGAAACAGTTTTGTTAGGTTCCTTGGCCTGAAACACAATACATTACACAAGTACACATATGCTGGGCCGGCATATTGCCAGCGTTCTGTCCCATTCTACATACTTAACCTACTAAACCTAGTGCACTAGTAAATTGGGATGCAGCACCAATAATCTTATGACCGATAACTGATAAATCACCAATATTAAAATTCTGTACGATTTTGTCTAAATAAATTAAAAACAAAACACAAAAACTAAAATTTAAACTACAAATGAAATAGCCAATAGCATTTTCGCTTACAGTGGGTTACAGTGTTTGAGGCTTTACGCATGCGCAGTAAAGCGGATTTAACGTTTTCCAACGTTTCAGTGTGGTTGAGAAACTTTTGGACAATGCTTGAAAATGCTAGAGAGCGTTTTTAAAACGAAAACGCCCTTTTCAAATGTATCCGGATTAATGTAAACGATTTATGGTGTAGGGGGCGGGACGCTTCGGATTGTAGGCTGCATTTGATTGGACTGAACGTTAGATGAGAAGCTGAAGTGCAGGGTGATGTCATCAAAATCATTGATCCATATTGACGTAAGTGAGAGACTATGATTATATTTTCTAAATATCCTCTAAATGCGAATGTTGTCATTTTTTTGGGAGTACGCCAGTTTATAGATTACCTTAAAGGGATAGGCCTAGTTCACCCAAAAATGAAAATGACCCCATGATTTACTCAGCCTCAAGCCATCAGGTGTATATGACTTTCTTCTTTCAGACGAATACAATCAGAAGTTATATTAAAAAATGTCCTGGCTGTTCCAAGCTTTATAATGGCAGTGAATGGGTGTTGAGATTCAATAGCCCAATAGAAGTCCAATAAAGTGCATCCATCCATCATTAAAAAAATAGCTCCGGGGATAATAACTAATGCATTTATGTAAAAAAAAAAAATCCATATTTAAAACTTTATAAACAGTAATCTCTAGCTTCCGCTAGCTGTCGTATGCATGTTCACAAAAGAACGCCGTTCCAGCAGATGATGTAGGACGTAGGCGTATATTTTTCTAACACAAATGCATCGCTTCACTTCAGAAGGCCTTTATTAACCCCCCAGAGCCGTGTAGAGTACTTTTTATGATGTGAAACTTCTATTGGGCTATTGAATCTCAACACCCATTCACTGCCATTATAAAGCTTGGAAGAGCCAGGACATTTTTTAATATAACTCCCGATTGTATTCGTCTGAAAGAAGAAAGTCATATACACCTAGGATGGCTTGAAGCTGAGTAAATCATGGGGTCACTTTCATTTTTGAGTGAACTACCCCTTTAAGGCTAACATATTCATATTAAGTCTAAAAACTAGAATTTTGTTTTCATGTGGACTTAGTATAAGTATACTTTGGGCATATATCACTTGCTGCTTGTCGTTCATGCTACAACTGACCTACGGGGTCACTGGATTTGTTATTAAACAGCTCATTAGGGAGGGTCTGGGCTATTATTTCCCTCACCTCCCTTTTCTTGGAAAGGTGTTTTCCATCACGTCACGTAGAAACAACAATTATTTTACCTCAAATATTCAGAGATTGTGTAGCGTGGACTGCAGAAAAAGTATTTGTCAAAGGTCAAACTGATTATCCTGACCTGATTATCTTGCTTCTGACCAATACAAGAAGTCCCAAAGCTTGTTGGTTGAAGGATTTATGGACCTACTCCCAAACTCTGCCCACATTGGAGTTTCCCAACCATGTTCCCAGGAATCTATATGTGCAATATTTATGTTGGCAGTGAAGTAAACATCAGTGTCCATAATGGACACATCACCAGCCGAGCTTTCAAATGAACCTTCATAATGAATGACCATTAAATTAACTTTTTATTAACCCATTTCCATTTTATAGCCATAAATACCATATCCATGTTGGCAGATGTAGATTTTTTTTCTCAAATGTGGGAATATCAAGCAGTGCTGATGAGAAACAGCCTCACCATTGGGTCAGAATAGAGTTTCACTCATCTCTCCTGAGATTGGATGTCCTCCACAAGACTCCAGCAAGGCTACGCCAAATAAAGAAGTCATTGTTTTTAGCTGAGCGTCATTCAGGTGTGCTCATTCCATAAAGATCTACCTGTATAAAGAATCTAACAGTTTACTTGACACAAAGTGAGGTTTCATCTATTGTAACACACTGATACTCACTTGTTTCTTGTTTTTCTCTCTCAAAACAAAGATCCGCTTTGTAGCAGCGCTCCAGAGTTCAAGCATGATCGAACTCAGTCGGTTTCAGTGATGCTTAGCCACAGCGTGGTCCTCACCTGCAAAGCCTCCATAAGTCTGAACAGCACCAATTCAGACTGCAAAGACCACCTGGAGTGGATGAAAGACGGCACACCACTTACCAACCTCACCATCTACCCTCAAAATATAAAAGACTGGTGGGTATATGATGCAATGCAGTGCTAAACACTGGATACATGCAGTGTATTGGTTATTAAAGTGCCCCATTAAGCCATTTTTAAGGTTCCTAATATTGTTTTGGGAGCCAAAAGGTTTACATGCATGCAAGGTCAAAAAACGCTTTCGTTTTCTCAAAATCTGCATTTAATATCACCTCATTTTCCAACGATTATCGAATGATTCGTTCGAAGCAGTTTTGTGCCTTTTTTCCCTGAATCCCCAAGTCACACTGGGGCAGTGGTGGCGTCAGTGGTCCTGTTGCTTGTCCTGGCTCTGGCAGCGGTGGTCTATTCCAAGTGCCGACTCAACTTTAAACTGTGGTATAGGAACATTTACGGAGAGTATGAGCTTAATGGTTAGTCTGCATTCTGTATGTTAAAGCCCTTTATCATCTGTGGTAACATATCACTGGCATTTCATGATGATTTTTTGCTGATTTTTTCTCAGATGGCAAAATGTATGACGCCTACATCTCATATGTCAACAATGAGAATGACAGGAAATTTGTCAACTTCATCCTGAAACCTCATTTGGAGAACAAGTACAGTCATAAACTGCTGCTCAACGACACAAACATCCTTCCTGGAGCTGGTAAATCTAACAATTATATTTAAATGTCCATAGCGTCTATTAAATCAATTGCATGAAGGCTTAAAGGTGCTGCACCTTTAACTAATATTGTACATGAATAAAATGAAAATGCAACAGTAAAGTTATAGTAAAAGTGCATATACAAAGTGCATGTCATTATTATTATTCTTGATTTTTTTTTTCAATCTTTTCATTTTCATCCTCAGAGCCATCTGCAGAGTTGCTGATGAACATTAGTCGCTGTCGCCGGATGATTGTGGTTCTCTCTCAGTCGTACCTGGAGCAGGAGTGGTGCACAACCAACTTTAGGTCAAATCTACAGCGTATTTGCATTATTTCACCTCTGTCTCGCTCTCCACCCTGCTTTTATACAGTATTAGCTTCAGTGTCCATAACAAAAAGCCACATTTTACAATGTGTTGTTGATTTATTGTATGTACTAACGAAAAAAAAAAAAAAAATAACATGAAATTAAATTATTGAAAAAATTGATTCTATTTAATTACTGTATGTTCTGTAATATGGTCGTTAAGCTTTTTCTGTAAGAGCTGTTGATAATTGGAATAATTTCCCGATTAATATTAGACTGTCCTACTTTTAAACAGTGGAAGTTACATTAAAAATATAGTTAAAGATTAGTTCAAGAAACATTTTTTTTCTTAATGACATGAGCTTTAAAGTCCCCATGAAATCAAAATTAAAGTTTTTTTTTAGGTGTTAGTATCAATATGTTAGTCTTAAGGTTATCTATAAGGCAGTGTGCTCCAAAGCAGTGACAAAATTCACATTTAGATGATATAAGCATTCAAAGCGTGCAGTTTGTCACTTCCGCCAAAACGGCTCAACGATTTTTTTTGACGTCACATCGTACTTCATCTTCTCATCAAATCTTCTGACCAATGAAATCCTCTCTAGAATCCGAAGCACCCGCCCCTGCACTATAAATAGACACTGAAGCGCCGGCTGAGATCAGTTACTTGTTCACAGTGTAGTATTTCCTGTACAGTGAATGGCTCTTAGTGCACAATGTAGGCGATAGGGAATGATTCAGACAGTGTAAATATGTTTTCGATTGGTGCAAATGAGGTCTTGTTTCACGCTGCTTCACGCGAACCGTGGCAGCGCACACCGTCTGATCTGGACTTTGGGTCCGGTCCAGAGACCCGATCACACGGAGCGGATCATATGCACGAGTCGGCATAAATTAAAAACTTTTACATCTACACAGCCTCAGCATGATTATTACCACTATGTTGTTTTACTAAGAGTTTCATATTGAATCTAGGGGTAATCTATTAGACTGTGGCTGTCAAATGCGGCTTTACAGAGCTCAACGGCTCTGGCCTGAACAAAATGCTATTGGCTATTTTAAAAATGCTCGATATGTCCGCCCTCTCTTTCTGTTTCAGTTGAAATTACGTCACCGCATAGAATAGTTCTGCGTGTTTCAAGGCACTTCAGGGGACCTTTAACGTTAGATGCTGTTTTTAATGTTCAGACAGGGTCTGTGGCACTTGATTGAGCTGTCGAGGAAGCCCATCTTCATCATATTTCAGTCACAGCAGAAGCAAATGAGCCAGGACATCAGTCACCAGCTGAAACAACAGCAGTCCCGAATCACAACCCTCACCTGGGGCGCACACTCCATAGTGAGACCCTCGCAGTACACAATACATCTGTGAGATTTAGCATAAGAAGAAGCCTAATCATTCTCGTTCCCTTCCCACAGATCCCTTCTTCAGGCTTCTGGAAGGAGCTCACGTTGGCGATGCCGCTTAAGGTGACGTTTCACAGGGAATCTGCCGGCGATCCGCAGACTCTGCTGCAGGGCGATAAAGATCCCATGCTCACGCAGCAGCCCGATTACCTGGACTGCAGACCGGACCCCGATCCCGCAGGAGACCTGGGTATGAAATGTGCTGCTTCTTCACCCAACAGGGTTTATCTTCATTCAGTATCATTCCAACAATGACATATCATCTGGATTACGCTTCCTTTAAAGGGATAGTTCACCCAAAAATCATTCACTCATTTACTGTGTGACTTTTTAGTCTGTGGAACACAAATTAAGATATTTTGAAGAATGCTTCTTCAATTTATTTTAGGGTGAACTGTCCCTTTAAGACAAACCATACACGTTTTAACACTAAAGCCTACTTTATTATATTTAATATGCAGATTTCTTTTGATTTATGCCTCTAAATTATTAGCATGATCAAAACTTTGCTGAAAATACTGTTGTACGCAATCTACTACAGTAGATGCCTTCTGTCGTATGATTGATAGTTTATACTTTTGGTCACACTTTATTTTAAGGTCCAATTCTCACTATTAAATACGACCTTTGTCCTAATAAACTGGTAATTTGCTGCTTATTAATATGCTAGTAAAATTGGCCCTATAAATATCAGCAACTTCACCAAATTGCGTATTTTCACATATAAGTTTACATATAAATGATAACATTTTATTGTAAAATGTGTTTCCTTTACAGGTTTGCGTTTGCCCATCTACAAGACCCTTCCCTCCAAAGCTCCGGTGCTTCCTGCAGGTCCCAGTGTGACGGCTGAACCAAAACCCCCAGAGATAGACGTGTCTGATCTCGGCTCGAGGAACTACGCCGCACGCACTGACTTTTACTGCCTGGTCACGGAAGACGATATCTGAGTCACAATCCTGTTCCTTTTTGCCCAATGATTTCTTGTTACTGTCACTCTTTTCTTTGTTTTTGTTTATTTATGCATGCACAATTCTTTATGCTTTTATGCTAAATGTTTTAGAACATGTCATGTACAGTCAGGGATTTTGATTCTGTACATATTTTAATAAAGTTGTGGAGTCCATGTCCATGTGTTCATGCCTGCTTCCCTACTATATACAGTAGTAGGCAAAAACAGTACATGTTCATAGTATTCTTAAAAACTGATAAGGGAAAAAGCATAGTTCATATATGAAAAAGCATTATGTGTCCAACAGTAATACTCGCATCGAAAAGACAAACAAGGGGCATAGGACATGTGATATAAACGATCAACTGTATCTAAAAAGTAGAGTGCTTTTGAATCGGACACTGGTCGCACTGTATATGTTATTTCGTTATACAAAGGTTAAGTTATTGTGATTAACTAGTTGATTAAGGATTCATCAGACTGTTCTAAACTAGTAACTCAAAAGTTCAAGAGTTTTTTGTTTTTTTCTTTTGAATGATTTAATAACCGGATCTACTTATTTGCTAGAGAAGGAAACTACTGACATGTTTTCTTGCCATAACTTCATAGTAGTCTTGTATCTCATTACACTTAATTTAGACTGCGCTCACAACACGTTAAATATGATTTATTTTGACGTGTTACTGTAGATTGCAATAAGTATTACTGGTTATGAAAGGGACCTCAAGAGGGCGTTGGCCTTAAAACCCATAAGAGCCCAGACCAATGTCTCCTTATAGGAAAATTATGGGGCATATAAAACATACCAAATGGACCAGTTATAACATGTTTCTGCAGTTGTTTTTGAAATACAACATCTACTTGTGAAAGATCTGTAAAGTGACATATATGTGACATTGGGAGTTTATGATACATTTTTAATGTTGCATATATGTTACATTGGGCATTTATTTCTCAGTTGAAAAAAAAAGACATTTTGTCAGTTTTTTTGCTAAATTTTTCCTGTTTATTTGCTTTTCCACAACATATCAAAATTATTACTTTTCTGGGAAGATCAAACAAAATCCTTTTTCAGAAGTAATACAGTTTTGCATTTAATTTGCTTTGCCACAACATATTTCAAAACCACATAACTGTGACCATTACATTTTGCAACAACTCTTTTGTAAGATTCAAGTATACGGTTTAAACAGAAATATATTTTTATTTTTCACAACTTCAAAATGTGCAAACTGAATAAAAATAAATAACTACCTCACACCGGAGGTTAAACATGCACGTAGTGCAATAACATTGCAAAAATGTGTATATTGTGCAATAAAACTGTATACAAACAAACAATACAATGCTCCGTGAAATAAAAACTTGATCACTCTGATCAAACCATTGTTATCACCTTTATCACTTTAATTTCTTCTATGCACAACGCAATATGTTAATTATTTTATGCAAAACAGTGAAAAAGTTAGCTCGTAGCATTTATTGCAATGCAACAGCATATATGATTTTTCTCTTCAGAGTTAGTTCTTGTATGCAATGCAGTGATTTGTTATCTCTTCACTGCACAACGGACTAAGTTACTGCAATGCAATATACATGTTATGTGTTATCTTTTCAATGCATAACAGATGAGTAAGTTAAGTAGTCGCATCACCACATCAGTTATGCGTTATCGCCTCTGTTCATGTTATTCTCACTACAAAAAAGATAAAATAACCTTCAAATAGAACAAACATATGATATAAACATCTTGTTTTAGTTACAGGTATGCAAAATAGTTTCAAAATACATTTCATTATCAATGTAATTAATTTGACATTATTTTTGTATGCTTTGAAATATGCTTTGAAATGAGCAGCAGTAATTTAAATATATAACACTAAAATAATTGAATCAGCTAAACTGAGCAGTTCATTAACATTTTTCTTAATTTGACAAATACGTCACATCAAAATTCCACTTACTTTTTTAAGGTTAACAGCCCAATGTGACATATATATGTCACCACAATATTTTCTTAACTTGTTTTATATCAATTTGTTCAAGGAATGTATTAAAATCAGGTTAAGTGTAATCTAGGATATGTTATTAAAACATTAGAATTGTTGCATGGGTTAAAACATACCTTTAGTAACAAAACCAAGCGTTTTTAAAATTTACTGACACTGCAACATGTGCTAACTAGACAGGCAACCATTTTGGAAATGTTGCCATTGCAACAAAAATGCACACATTGTCATATGACTGAACCTGTGTGTTCCTTATATGTCACTTAGGGACTAGTTGAAAGTGAGGGATAATGCTTTAAAAAGATCTTTCCAGATAATCACCAGTGTTTGTGACACCCGTGTCACTGCGGGTTCTTATGGGTTAACAGAGGCACCTCAAAGACACCAATAGTGACAGGAACCTCAAGGCAGTATTACAGTGCCTTAAACCCCCAGTGAGCAAACCAATGGCGACAGTGGCAAGGAAAAACTCCCTACTAAATTAAATGTAGGTAGAAACCTTGGGAGGAACCAAGACTCATCAGGGGGGACCCATCCTCCTCTGGCCGGAAAATATAAAAATACTGCCTAATTGATTTATAATATTTATGGCTAGATGATAATTAACAAAATATCCAACCAATTCGAAAATGGCTATTGAGAACAACTCTTACATGTATTCTACAGGACTTACCTGTATTCAACAACTCTTACCTGTACTCTACAAACCTTACCTGTATTTCACAGGACTTACCTGTACTCTACAACTCTTACCTTTAGTCTACAACTCTTTCCTTTAGTCTACAACTCTTACCTTTAGTATGCAACTCTTACCTTTTGTCTACAACACTTACCTTTAGTCTGCAACTCTTACCTGTACTTTACAACTCTTACCTTCAGTCTGCAACTCTTACCTTTAGTCTACAACTCTTACCTTTAGTCTGCAACTCTTACCTTCAGTCTACAACTCTTATTTTTAGTCAACAACTCTTACCTGTACTCTACAACTCTTACCTTTAGTCTACAACTCTTACCTTTAGTCTGCAACTCTTACCTTTAGTCTACAACTCTTACCTTTAGTCTACAACTCTTATTTTTAGTCAACAACTCTTACCGGTACTCTACAAACCTTACCTGTACTGTACAACTCTTACCTTTAGTCTACAACTCTTACATTTAGTCTACAACTCTTACATTTAGTCTACAACTCTTACCTTTCCGTCTACAACTCTTATTTTTAGTCAACAACTCTTGCCTGTACTCTACAACTCTTACCTGTACTTTACAACTCTTACCTTTAGTCTACAAAACTTACCTTTAGTCTGCAACTCTTACCTTAAGTCTACAACTCTTATTTTTAGTCAATAACTCTTACCTGTACTCTACAACCCTTACCTTTAGTCTGCAACTCTTAACTTTAGTCTACAACTCTTACCTTTAGTCAGCAAATATTACCTGTATTTCACAGGACTTACTTGTACTCTACAACCCTTACCATTAGTCTACAACTCTTATTTTTAGTCAATAACTCTTACTTGTAATCTACAACCCTTACCTTTAGTCTGCAACTCTTAACTTTAGTCTACAACTCTTATTTTTAGTCAATAACTCTTACTTGTAATCTACAACCCTTACCTTTAGTCTGCAACTCTTAACTTTAGTCTACAACTCTTATTTTTAGTCAAGAACTCTTACCTGTACTCTACAACTCTTACCTGTAGTACACAACACTTACCATTACTATACAACCCTTACCTGTTCTATATTACTCCTGAATATACTCTACAACGCTTACCTGTACTACACAACCCTTACCTTTACTATACAACACTTACATTTACTATACAATACTTACCTGTACTATACTACTCCTACATATACTCTGCAGCTCTTACCTGTACTATATTACTCCTGCATATACTCTACAACTCTTACCTGTACTACACAAAACTTAGCTCTCTCAGAAGTGAAAACCACTGCTGCAGTGAAACACGTTTCTCCTACAACACTTACCTTCTTTCTGACACAAGTAACTGCTCATCGTGAACCTTACCTGTGATTGAATCACACAACTCTTACCTTCAGTCTGCAACTCTTACCTTTAGTCTACAACTCTTACCTTTAGTCTGCAGCTCTTACCTGTACTTTACAATTCTTACCTTTAGTCTACAACTCTTACCTTTAGTCTACAACTCTTACCTTTAGTCTGCAGCTCTTACCTGTACTTTACAATCCTTACCTTTAGTCTACAACTCTTACCTTTAGTCAGCAACTCCTACCTTTAGTCTACAACTCTTACCTTTAGTCTACAACTCTTACCTTTAGTCTGCAACTCTTACCTTAAGTCTACAACTCTTATTTTTAGTCAACAACTCTTACCTGTACTCTACAACTCTTACCTGTACTTTACAACTCTTACCTTTAGTATACAACTCTTATATTTAGTCTGCAACTCTTACCTTTAGTCTACAACTCTTACCTTTAGTCTGCAACTCTTACCTTTAGTCTACAACTCTTACCTTTAGTCTGCAACTCTTACCTTTAGTCTACAACTCTTA